ACCATGGAGACCATCCTTTTCCTTTGGGAATGCTCTGTCCCTCCTTCCCCGCTACCTCTTATTTATTTGGTGTTTGCTAGAAAGCTGGGACTGCTCTGACCAGGCTGGCGTAGGGGTGGTAAAACCCGCTCTCTGCAGGAGGGGAGGTTGGTGGCTTGAGCAGTTGCCTGAGAAGCCCTTGTGGACCAGGAACTGCCCCTCGGGCAGGGCTGTGCTAGCTGAGCCTCGGGGTTCACCCCTCCCTTCGTGTTTCCGTGAGCCTCTCGTTTGTGTCAGCTTCTTTGTGATGCTGCTGCAGAAAGGCTCTGAAGGTCCAAAGAGTTTCTTCGGCATTTAAATGACCATTGCTTCTCAGGCTGCTAGAGCCGCGTCGCCGTTGCTGGTTCTAGACCACCAAAAAGGTAACAGCTTTCTCACACCAGCTAACTTTCCGGGGCCGACCTCCAGGGAGCTTGATGCTTGCTGCTCCCTTCCCGCACGTTAGTCGTGGCCGAGCATGTTAGAGCAGAGTCCTGGCGAGCGTTGACAAAGGCGGTCTGACGTGCACCCTGGGCTGCCTGCACACGCTCGGGTGACCGCAGCACAGCATCTGAACTCAACACAGGCTCCAGAGGTAGATGCTAGAAGCCTAAGAGTTGTTGCTTAGTGTCCCAGCTGAGGCAGAGAGAGACCGGTAGGAAAGAGCCGATGAACTTGGTTTTTCTCTTTTTTATTCTTTTAGTTAAAAGTATATGAGGGGGTTCAGCCGTGAGGGGGGAAAAGACGGACTGTAATGGTACGAAATCTTATTGCTTACAGAAGCTTCCAGCATGTGAGGGTGAAGGTCTTTTAAGTGTTGCAGTAAACATTCTAGCACTCCTGACCAGAGGGGGCGAGGTCACAAGAGACGCTGTGTCACCACCACTACACTGGCAGGAGGCCTCGTCGGGACAGGATCTTCAGGTGTGCTCGACTGTGCCCGGCCCTGCCCGGCCCGGCAGTGGCCGCTGGATGTCCCGTGTGGACTAGCAGTAACCCCATGTGGTGAATTCAGCTTTGTCCAAAGGAGAGCATAAAATCGAGTATGTCCTGTTTCCTAGTTCAGTTTTAGGAAAGGAAAACACGAACAAATTCAGAAAGGAAACATGTTAACTGGATGCCTACTGAAACCAGGTCAGAATGCTCACCCTTCCCCCGCCTGAGAGACTGCCACAGAACGAAGACACCAGGCGTTTAAATCAAAGCCTTTTCCCTGATTAACTGGCAGAGGCAGAGGCCAATGTAGAGAAAGAAAAAACATTTTTAAGAACTGAGAAGATGTAAAAATACAGGGGAGAAGGGGGAGGCAGCGTGGTGAAGTGGGCCGTGGCCTGCGCTGGAGGCTCCACGGGCAGGTCTCTGGGTCCAGGGCCCTTGGCACATCCCTCCGGCCCAGCCGGCTGCTCAGCTCGACAACCATGGCCAGCCTAGGGGAGCTGCGCTCAGCTTCCTTTGCGTTCTAGGGGGCCGGGCTTTTTATTCAGCCAAGGCTGGGGGATTGAGGCCTGGACGTGTGTTGAAGTTACCCAGCCTGAACATTTAGGTTTTTATGTTGCAAAGGACTCAAGTCAATAGTAAGGTTTAGTTTGGTTTTAAAAACAATAAACCTGCCAGGGGCCAACAGGTCACCGATTGCGCTGCAGCGAGTCTTTTTAAGGACTGAAAGGTGATAGTAGAGGGACACTAGAGAGAGAATTCGAGCCTGGGAGCTGGCAGGGCAAAGGTATTAGAATAGTTAGAGCATCAGGTCGAGCAGCTTGGGCAGGTCAGGCTTGGGCAGCTCGGGCAGCCTCTGCCCGGCCACTCGGAGCACGCTTGCCTGCCTCAGAGTCGTGTGGCCAGCGTGCGTGACCTGCTCTGCTCCCCACCCGACACTAACCAGGGTCAGCACAGGCCCTGGGGTTGCAGTCTGCTTCTTGGGCAGCATGAAATTTGTTTTCAAAAGGAGCACTACAGTTCATGGGGGCGGCGTGGTCTCCATAGAGAAAGCGCGTTCCCGAGTCCACTGCAGGACGGAAGCGCATGGGCCTCTCTCAGACAGGACTTTGAGGGATTTTTAAAAAGCTTTTGACAGGGCTCTGCCATAAAGTCTACAGACATCGTTAGTGTAGCATTGGAAGAAGTACCTAGTCACGAGTAAGAAAATAAATCCAAAGGCAGGAGACAGAGGTCGTTTCTTGGGTCAGGAGGTTTTTAAAGGCTTCCGTGAGCTGAGTGCTAGGCTCAGCTGTGGGCGGCCAGTGGGCGGCCGTGGCCTTCCTAGCTTGGTCAGCAGAGTGTTTCAGCGGCTGGGGATTCTTACCAGGCTCCGTGGGTGCAGAGAAGCGATAGGTCGGCTGCTGTGTGTGCCGTGTGGAGGGGAAAGGGGCCAGCTCTTCCGAGCAGGGAACCTGGGAGCCACTGACATGGATGGTGAGCCCACCGTGCAGCTGTGGTCCAAGAGGCTGGCACATCATGGGGCAAAATCAGGACGACAGGACACGAAACTCTAGACCCTGGGCCGTCCCCATTTGCCACAGCCTGTGTAGTTTCTAGAGGTTTTGTCACAAAAGGCCAAAGTTTTACGGTTGTGCAGAAGGGGGTGGCTGATACAGCGGCCGCGATGAGGGGGTCCCTGTGAGCTGGGCTGTAAGGGTTCAGACTCACAGTTCCGAATGAAAACTTGGGTGTTTCTGTGTAGAGAATATAGCATGTGCTGTGACTAGCCAGTGGAAGTTTGTACCAAATACTAGAACATGCCACTTGAAGCCAGAAAGAACGGAAGAACGAGTGAGAGAAAGTGCCACGTGGAGTACCAAGAGATGGGAGGAAGCCGTGCAGGTTAAGGAGAGTGTGGGTGGCGCGGAGGCTTGGTCTGGAGCCACAGTCCGGGTGGAGGGCCACCCAGCCTCTCTCAGTGGTCCTAGGCCGAGCCCGATCCCACCCAGAGATCCCACCCACGTCTCCTGCGGGGAAGAGAGGGGCTCATGGAATGACCCCCATCAGCGCAGCTCCCTCTGCTCCTTTCCACTCTGGAGGTGCACGCTGGAAACCGATCTCCAGCCCCACCATGTCTGTATGTTTCTGCCCAGACTTCTCTAACTCGAGCCCTCCTTGCCCCTCCCCTCCCCTCCTCCCTCCCCTCCCCCGTGTGGCAGAGGAATTGGTTGCCCTCCAGGAGGCTTTTCTGTGTAGGTGAAAGAGCAAGTGTAGGTCGGAGCCCGGCCCCAAGGCTGCTGCTGTGACCCTTGTCCCATGTGGCTCGTGTCCCCATCCAGGACTCTCTGCCGTGTGCAGGGAGAGTGGGTTCCCGTCTTTTCCATGCTGTCCTCCAGTCTGTACGTGCTCACCTGAGAGAAGAGGGGCTGTAGCAACCAGGGAAGCCTTCCCCGGGGTAGTGAGCCCCTGCACCCGCCACTGCAGAGCCCTCTGCCCCCCTTCCCTTCCCTTCACCACCGAATTGTCCATCGGGGATAAGTAGGTCAGTTGAACCATTGGAATAGATGCTTTAGAGGAGACCCCTGAGAGTTTGAGACCCACCCCCCATCACCCCCTCCTCCCTTCCCCCACCTCGCTACAGTGTTTGGACAGGAGGGTACAGCGCTGCTGGATGCAGCAGATACTCTGGCTGATCAAAGAGGCGGCCGGGCATTTTGCACTAGGAAGAATCAGTGATCACTTTTCAGAAGACTTCTATGGACCATAATAAGTATATTACGGAGGAACAGATTTTGTTAAGACATAATCTAGTTTTGTAACTCAATCATGGATCAACCACATGTGGCTAACTTGCAGTTTAAAGGGGTCCCATCAGTGAAAAAAAGATTTTTTTTTAACCGACTGCTTTTAGTTAAATTTGAGAAAGTCCTCTTGTCAAAAGGTTTAAACCTTCCCGCCTTGATCTTAAAAGCATGTCAAACAATCCACGTCAGATGCCATAAACAAGAACTGCGAGAGAAAATGGTACAATCTTAGTAAATGGGAATTGGAATCAAAAGGGTTTGCTGTCCTTCTTAGAACGTTCTAAAATGTCAAGGCAGTTGCTTGTGTTTAACTGTGAACAAATAAAAATCTATTGTTTTGCACTATTCTGCTGTGTTGACATGAAGTGACTCGCGCTGGCCTCTGAGGGGCTTGTAGGCAAAGTAGGGACCCGTCCACGGATGCAGAAGCTTCCAGCCTGGCTTGGTTGGTCATCTCAGGTGGCTGGAGGAGGTGCTGACAAGTAGAATCTGGCTTTCGTCTCTCTAGGACCCTTTTTGTTCTAGCCCATTCTCTGGCCCACAGCCACAGATACTCCCTTTCTCTGCCTCGGATTCCTGCCTTCCCCCCCCCACCCCGAGAGTGGCATGGTGGCATGGAGCGGGTGACGTGAGTCATCCCCACCCAGACTCTCCAAGCCGGACGGCCTGCAGGGGCTGCACTGCTGTCCCACCTCGTGCTGGGAGTATGCTTGCCTCCCTACGAGTTGGCTGGCCGTTGGCTTTAATACAGTCCTTTTGGTGGCACCCAGGTGACACCGAGGTCATCAAGAGCTTACCGGTCCTGTTCTGTGAGTGTGCCAGGGAGAAGGGCAGCTGGCACCCACCACCTTCCTTCCGTTTGGAGGAAGGCAGGAAACTACCTCAAACAATTGTTCGATCCAGCCTTGCCTCACCATCTCTTCCTTGGAACAGACATTTCCAGCTGTCCCTGGAAATCGGTGTGCTCTGCCCATGTTAATGGCGGAAGCAGCTCTTTGAGAGAAAGACTCAGAGATGGCAGTTTTTGATTTTGTCTGGAAAATTCAGATGTCTATTCAGATTCCTGTCTGAACAGCTTCTAACTACGGAAGGCCAGTTACGAGCTGGCCTGTGGGTCTTTGGCATGATCCCCCCGAGAGCAAATGTCTATAGTGGTTGCTCTTTGCTCGTGGTTTTGCTTGTGAGGCTACTGGCCAGTGTCCTCTGAGGTCTTAGGGTAAATAAAGAAGGGATAACTCCCAGGAAACCAAGCCAGGCAGAGAGGTGGGAGAACACTTTTTATTCTTGACGGTCGCCCCCGAGGAAGCAAGAACACAGAAGCTAAGTCGCCCCCTGTGAAGGGAAAAGCCAACAGTCAGTCAGAACTTCCAGCAAGCGCAAAAGCCGGAGACACATTCTATAATGTCGGGGCCTTGACTGTGTTGTGAAAATCAGGAAACTGTCCTTGCACGGGAGCCATAAAATCAAAATTCTTCCGGCTTCTCTCATGGCCTCCCCTCTCCCAAGTAAAGGAGAGCAAAGGCAGGTTCGTTCCTCTTTGGGTTTTGGTCCAGAGACCTAATCACACTGAGGAAGTCCACCGTGCCGGCCCTCAGCATCCTGGCAGGCCAAGCAGCCAGATCTTGCAGGAGCCGAGCCTTGCCTACAGTTGCCGCTGTGGTGGGAAAGGAGCTGGCAGGCCTCCGGCTCGGCGGCACGGCCCAGAAAGCCGGACCTGCAGTGTGGTCGGGCCCGGCAGGGTGTGGGCTGGGAGCTCCCAGAGCACCTGGGCAGGCTGGTGACCCCAGCTCTCAGCAGCCTCCCCGGGACACCCGCTCCCACCAACACCGAAAGTGGGGGTCCTCTTCATTGGCACAGAGCCGGACACTCAGAGGCGAGGAGAGCTTAGAAGTGAAAGTGACAGAGGGAGAGAGGTTCTCAACAGTATATTGGGCAGGCCCTCTGGGGTTCATCCGTGGCGGGGACTGTGGGCGCCAAAGAATGGATCAGCCGGTGGAGACCAAGTTAAGTGACCAAGCACCCTACGGGACGCAGCAGCTTGTCGGCTCTGAGTTACAGTTTCCCGCCAGGCGGTCTCCAGGGAGGTTTGAGACATCCTATGTCATTCCCCCTAGGTTTGGGGCTGTCTTTTGTAAGTCGCCTACGTTTGTGCTTCCTTAACCGAGGCTGGGTGCCTGTGGTCCAGGCAGGGCGAGCGGCCGCCCCGGTGGCTTCCTGGCGTGCCTGGGGCTCACTCACATGCTGCAGGGCTTTGCGGGGCAGCTTCTCCGAGTGGGCGACCCATTCTTTCATTAAGTCCAGGACGATGGGGATGAGGCTGACGACGCCTCCGTAGTGGTTCCTGGCCTCGTCACAGCTGAGGTGGTTCACCACGTCGTGAGGGTACCTGCGGGGCAGCAAGAGGGCTCCGTCCAGGCCCGGGGCAGGCCCTAATCCTGGCCGCCCCTCAGAATCCCCTGGGGAGGCTTAGGGCCGCACGGGCCGAGCCGCACTCTCTACCGGACCGTGGTTCGGCGGGCCTGCGGCCCAGGAGCCCTGGCTAATCCAGGGGTGAGGGGCAGGACTCTCGAAGCACTCGCCTTCGGTTGTAGAACCCCGGATCAGGGGCCGTGGACACCTGCCGTAACTGCTCCAAAACCTGCTGGTTAGTCCCTCTGCCTCTTCTCCACCCCGATAACTAAACGGCGTGCTCCGGAACAGGGCACCCTGTGCTGAGGGCCCCCAGGGCGCAGAATGAGGGAGCCGCACTGGCGGTACTGGGGCTTCTCCGTGGGCTTCTGGGAACACGTGCCCTGCGACCCCCCTTCCCTTTGCCCGGTACCAGCTCCACTCTACCTGTGGCCTCAGCAGCCCTCGTTTGCACTAAAACGGTTTGTGGGGTTGGCCCTTCCAGTAAGTCAGTGGGCCTGGGAGTTCCCACCGGGGCAGGGGGTCTGGACAGTCGCCACAGGATCCACCCGCGCACCTGCCCTGTGGGCAGAAGCCGGCTCCTTCCTGCGGGTCGCCCCGCTCCCTCCCCGCCCCGCTGCCCTCCGCAACAGGCCCAGAAGGGACTCACTTTGCCCTGAGGCTGCTCAGGTCGTTGCTTTGGCTAACCAGGGATTTGCATTTCTCAAGCAGGTTGCTGGTGGCCGGGCTGCCGGAGTGCAGGGCTTCGAAGTGCCGACACAGCCTGCTCAGCTCCGCGCAGATGTCCAGGAACAGGCGCAGAACGCGCCGGTCTGTGGCGTTGTTGCAGTAATGCTCCGTGTAGCTCTGCACCTGTGGGGGCCGCACGCCGGGCGCTCAGGGGGCGGGGTCACGGGGCCGACGCGTCTGCACGCAGTTACGGTCACGGAGCGTCCCAGGCGCTGCGCCGCGCGCCGTGCAGCCTGGACCTCGCACCTCTCAACACGCTCATCTAAACCCCACCAGGCGCCACGCACCCCAGCCAACACCTAAAGCAAAGAGCGCTGCTCCCCGACCTTTCGGGCCACAGTCCCCCTCAGGCCCCACTGAGGAGCAGAGAGAAGGCACTAAATCCTCTGAAGTTTCCTCGTCCTGTGTCTCCAAGGTAGAGGAAGGAGGGACAAGGGGAGCCGGCAGAGGGATCACCCACAGAAGGTAGTCTGAACCTCACACCACACACCGACACCAACTCTAGGATGAAGAGCTTAAACGCCAAACAAAACGAAAGCTCCCCTGTGAACGTGTTCCAGATGCAGGAGTCGGGATGCCTTTCTCCAGTCGTTAAAGGTGTTCAGAATGGTGAGACGGCTGATCGCGTTCAACCCCTCTCCTTGGGCGGAATGGAGGTCCTTCCCGGGCAGGGGCTCTTCCTCTCTATCCAACCTCACCCCCCTGCCCCGCCCCTGTCTCTCTGGATCTGAGGTCAGGCAAGGGGGAGGCCTGGCCTTGGGCTGGGGAGAAACTGGCTCTGGTCCAGGCAGGATCACTGGCCCATTTCCCCAAGGCAGGCCCTACCCGTGGTGGGCCGGTGGCTGGGGACATCACCTCCCTCCCCTAGCAGCCAGAACTTTTAAGTCTAAACCAGGTCGCCTTTCTGTTGCTAGGGGATGTCCTCCCACATGATCTGAGTGGTTGCAAGTCCAGCAGCTCTGGCGGGTGGGGGGGCTCTGGCCACCTCCATATCTGCTGGGCACTGCGGAGGGTGAGGAGGGGCCTGGCCCGCGGTGTAACCACAACACAGCAGTCACTGGGCTACCTGGTGTGTGCGCCGGTTACCTGTGGATGACCCAGCTCAGGGAGGGCTTCCCACAGAGAGTCAAACCCTGGGGCCGCTGTTTACCAAGAGCCTTTGCTGAACCAGGGACCAGAAGGCCACTCCCTTGTGCGTGTGAGGGGAGTGGGGGTGCGGGTCTCAGATGCTCCTTCCTGATAAACCTGTCCAGTGGTCTTGGAAGTCAGAGCCTTTGGGAAACGGGCTAGAAAAAGGATGTAGCTAACTGACTTGCAGATAGTTCAGGGGAAAGAGGCTATTTTCTGTAGGTTTAAAAAGTTTTCAAGTTAAAAAACCGGGAGAGGCTTTTACATATATTAGAAGAAAGGATTTTTTTGAAGGATGCAGGCAGGGTTGCTATTCTCTGTGGGCCCGTGCACTTCTCCTAAGCAGTTCTGAGCTCTGAGGCCACACCCGCCCCACGCCATGAGCCACTGGCCTTCCACAAGCTGACCGTGGGCCCGAGGCATGAGTGCAGTTGGGAGGGTCCCACCTACGTGTGTGCTGCTTCCTGGAAGGCATGTTCGGTCTTCGGCAAAGCAAACTGGGATAGAGCTAACTCACGAGGACACCCGGGTTACGTGAAAATGTTTGCAGACGGAGGTGGGGTGGGGGGTGGAGTAATGTGCTTGGCGCCTCCCAGTTTCTCAGATCCCAGTAGGATCTGACAGCTGGGACCACAGGCATCAGACGCTGGCTGAGAGTCTCCCTCATGATCTCCCTAAATCCACATACTCCCCGGAGGTTCTCACTCTACAGAGTAGACAACTGGGGCACAGACAGGTGACTCCCGGCCGGAGGTCACAGGGTGCGTGGGGCTGAGCCAGGACCTGAACCCTGGCTGGCAGTGTCCAGCCCATGTTTGTAACCACTTTGTTATTTACTCACATACTTGGGGAGGGGATGCCTGGCTCATTCCACTAGTTAGGCTCCGAGTCCTGACTCTGGCACAAAGGTGCTTGCCCCCTCTGGGCTTCAGTTTCATCTTTCAAGTAAGGTGTCACCCAGGAATCTCTGGGCCTGGCAGGCCCCTGGGAGCCCGGCCCCACCGCCCGCCAGCCCACGGGATGCCACCTGTCCGATGCTGGCAATGGGCCGGATCTTGTCGTGGGCGTTCTCCCTGCAGTGCTCCAGAGCGGCAATGAAGGTGAACTGTTGCTGTTGGAAGAGCTTGTACTTCTGCTCGATGTTTCGAAGAGACTCCTTCACCTCATTCATTGTCTTCCTCAGCGGTCATTCACAGGAGAAGGGGGATCTATGGGGAGGAAGAGTGCAGGGCTGAGGCCCCAGGCACAGACTGCAGAGCCAGCTCTGGAATCCCAGACCAACATGCCTAGGCCCCTCTCGGGCGAGCACCGCGCTCACTCCAGATGCCCCAGGCCGTCCAAGACAGAGCAGAGCCTGACCCAGCTCCCTCTACCCTCCAAGGACACATTCTTTGCCATCAACTGTGACTTCCTTCCCTCAAGTGTGGACACAGATTGCTCTGGTCCTCAGTTTCTCCAGACCGTGGACACACACACACACACACACACACACAGAGCCTCCAATGCCTTCCTGTGCTGTCAGCAACAGAGGGGATCACGGCATATGTCACAGAAAATAAGATCTGTGATTATCAGTTTGGACCAAATCATTTTAAACCATCTGCCTCTTTGCAATTGGTGGGAAAGTCTAGGGATTGTTTCCAGTGGGCCAAGCAGGGGAAGAGCCTGTCCTGGATTGTCGAGTGTGAGAAGATGCAGTTTCCCTGCTCTGTGCTTGGGTCAGGAGCCCTGATCTCAGGCTGGCACATTCTCAGGGCAGGGGCTGGCCTGATGGGAAACATTAACGCCATGGGGAGTGCTCTCTTCTGGTGCCTCACAGACTGTCCCTGCTGTGGTTCAGGTAGTCCACAAGGCGTCTAGAATCTTCTGTGAGCAGAGAAGGCTGTGGGTTCTGCTCTCTGTGACACCAGTTTTGCTGAACCTGTGCAAGATACCCAGGGCCCAGATTTATGGAGCCCCAGAACTGGGAGACCTCAGTCGGTCAACTCCCCTTAACTTCCAGCGGGGGGGCAGCTGAAGTCCAGGGTGTCACAGCAAGTTTGTCGGAGACCCCCTAGGTCCCAGGCTTCCTGACATCTGACCAGAGTCCTCGAAGCTGCCCCAGCCGCCGCGCCTCCACCACGAGGCAGCAGCACACGTGTGCCCTGTGTGCGCGGGGGTCAGAGGAGGCTGAGCCAAGGTGGGGTCCAAGTGAGTCGCTGCAAGGGCTGGGGCGGGGCAGAAGACATCCCAGGCTTCCTGGCAGGCCCCAGGTGGAGAGGAGCAAGCCCAAGGGAGACGGGAGGCCATTTCTGCTGTGTCTCCCTCAGCAACCCGAGCCCAGGGCAGGGCTGGAGCAGGGAGGGTATCTCCGAGGCAAGAAGAGGGATGAAAGGAAATGCAAGAACAGATGAGAAGGTGGCCTGCAGGACACGACGGGGGCAGCACATCAGAGAACTCGGGGAGCGCTGGGAGCTGAGTCGCACCAGGATGGGCCCTGATAATGGCGCCCTGTGAACCTCAGTGGGTCGAGGAGGACATTCAGCAGCAGTGCCCAGCGCACCGCCCCCCCCCGCCCCCCGGGAGCCACAGTGCCTGTTTGCTCACAGCAGCTGCAGCTCTGTGGGGGTGGGCCTGGGCCAGGGCCGGGCTGGGCGCCCGTGTCCTCCCCACTCAGTCCCCTGCCTGCCGTGGGCAAGCGCAAAGGGGAGCCTGGGTTGTGGGGATGCAGTGGGGGCCCTCTCTTTGTCAGACACCTGGAACCCCTGCCAAGGTCCCCCTACCCCCTGCCCAGAGGTGGCAATGGGGGACGGGGTAAAGGGGGGCAAGGTTTTGGGTTGTATCTCCAATGGTGCAGGCTTACCAGGCAGGTGAGGCCCTCAGTGTGAAACTGAAGGGGCACCACAAAGCCCAGCAATCGAGCCAGGTAAAAATATTTGACACACTATTTGAAGAAATAAAAGTCAATAGCAAAAAGTCCACAAAGTGCCTGAATTTTAAGTAAACACAGGATGGGATCCAGTGCGGGGCCTTTTGCTGTACAGGAGTCTGAGGCAAAAGCAACAAGTAATACTGATCCCGTCTTTAAATTTTTAATAGTTTACTCTCAATGGTTTTTTTGCATTAGTTTTGATGTTTTTAAATGTTATTTGTCCTGATGGCGGGGGTTTTTGGTGCCCTTCACATTCTGCGTCAAGGCAACCGCCTTACTTGCCTCACCTAGTTTGGGCCTGGGGCTTACAAGTGACGCGGGGGCTGAAGGCCTAGGAAAGTCGGAGCCCAGCACACAGGGGGTTTTCGGGGGAGGAGTGGGAGCACGTGCTTTCAGTCTGGCCTTCCCCCATTAACGCTCGGGGCTGTGCTGGGTGGTTAAGAACCCAAGCCCGGAGTCCCATAGTCCCGCTTCAAATCCTGGTGCCCCTGCGGGGTGAGCCTCTGCGTTCTAACATGCTATTGGGAGAGGACAGGGCCAGCCTCCCAGCCTTGGGGTGAGGACTGCGGCAGGTGGCAGGTGTGGAGCCCAGGGCCTGGAATGCGGCAGCACCCGGTTGTCGGGGCAGCGAAAGCAGCTGTAATTACACGGTGTGCACACAATCACGGCAGCAGGCCACGACAGGCACGGTGTGCACCCCGAAAGCAGCAGAGGCTGCTGAGGGCTTGACCTCCTGGAGAGGAGAGGTGGGGAGGGTGGGGCAGAGGGGTGGGGACCCTGGCTAGAGGCTGGGAGGGGGTTATGTGGAATATTGTGAGCAAGCACAGAAGGCAGTGGACAGGGTAAGGCCGAGGGACCTAAGCGTCAGACAAAGCTAGGAGAACCACTGAAGGCCAAAAGGGGTAAGAAGCATGTCATGCGTTCATTCGTTCATTCATTCATTCATTCTGCAATGCCTCCCATACGCCAGACACCATTCTGAGTGCTGGGCTATATACAGCATTGAACAAAATAGACAAGATCCCCTTCCCTGGAGGGACTTATCTTTCAGAGTGGGAGGCAGACAATAAGGATGAGTGAATGAACCATGTTTTAGATAAGGGCACTGCTAAAGAGAAAAGGAAGCTGGGCAGTGGGATGGGCGTGTCGGGATGAAGAGCTTCACAGTCTGCAAGAGGGTCCTTTGCAGGGGGTGGGTGGGTGCGGGGCAGGGCAAACTAGAGCCATGCTCCAGCCTTCAAGGAGATCCTGAACACCCACCCCAATCCTCCTAACAGCAGTTACTCTCCATGGGGCCCTAGGAAAACCCTGGCCATGCATTAAGTCCTCACCTATGAAGGTACCATGATTATCCCATGACAGATGACAAAGCTGAGGTTACCCAGGTAGGAGAAGTGAGCCAACCAGGATCTCCCACTCAGCTCTGCCTGACTTTATAAAGTCTGGGCTCTCGGATAGCTCCCTCCTCTCTCTGTGATGGTCCATAGAGACAGACATGCCAGACATCAGATTGACCAGAGCTGGGAGCGGGTAGGTGGGGTGGAGGGGATACCAAAGGCCTGAAAAGCTGCTCAAACCCTCCTAGGGGTCAGGCACTGGCTGGACCCCTGGGCCTCATTTCCACTCCCGTGAGACTGTTCTCTGTTCCCCATCCCCTAGGGGGCTGCCCTAGGTGTCTGACTTCCTGCCACCCTCCTGGGGCTTCCTGGGGCTGTCAAGTTCTCTAAGGTTATAGCACTACCTCGGCTGGTGGCCCCAAGAGCCCCTGAGAGCAAAACTGACGTGGCTCTTGATCCTAGCGACTTGTGACATGCGCGCCAGGAATGTCGTGAGAAGAGCTGTAATAAGCTATCCAAAGTGATCGTCCCTTGAACGAGAGTCACTGCAGCCAAATTAGTGTGGATGAAAGGCACAGGGTGCAGGCACTTCTCGATCTGGGGGAGGAGGAAGGAAAAAATGATTACCCAATAGGTTTTAGGCTTTAATTGATTTGTATTTTTCCAGGCTGCTAAAGAAGATTAAATCGTGGTATGAAAAGCGCCTAAGGCTTAAAATAAATGAGGAGAAAGGCAAGTCATTTCAGAAATGTCCAGGAAGCAAAGTGAACCTCTCCAGTGCAAATTGCGGGTTTGGTTGTTGTGTTCTTTGTTCAGGGGGAGGCAGCTTCCTTTTCTTCCCCAGCTGTCTTTGCAGTTGGCTTTGACAACCCAACCAAGGTGTGCACGCTTTGAGGAAGCGGCTCTGAGGGGAAGAGGCAGAACTGCAGCCTTTTACACTGGAGGGCATGTCTCTGGGCAAGTGGCCGGTGGTGACGGCTTTGGCTAGGAGTCAGACGTCAGCCCTGGCTCTGCCTTTGCTTAACAAGTGAACTTGGCCAAAAATTTCCCTCTTTCTGGGCCTCAGTTTATCCATCTGTAAAATCAGGGGGTTTGGATTAGAAGATCTTCAAGGGGACTTCTGATTTTAATGCTTCACGATCAACCCCTGATGAGGAAAGAGGCCCAGAAAAGGGAAATGACTTTTGCCAGAAGTCATTCAGCCACAACCACTTTTCACCATTCTGATCCTCCAATTTCTTATCTGTAAAATGGGAATGAAGGTACTTATTTCTCAGGGCTGGTGCAGAGATTAAACGAGATAATATGGCTAATAGTAGCCCCTATGCATTGTGCACTTATTACATGCCAGTTACCAATACTTCAGGTATATTAGCTCCTGGAATCCTTCCCTAATCCCCACTTCACAGGGGAGGAAAGTGAGGCACAGAGCAGGCTCACAAGGCCAGGTGGAGCCAGGAACTGAACTTGGGGCAATCTGTACTGACAATGCCAGACGTCCTGTCCATAATGTACAGACCCCATAGTTTTGTTAAGAACACTGAGGGCTCAAAACCAGGAGTAGCTCCTCCTAAAAATGGCAACAGACAAAAAGCTAGAGCTCCTAGTTCACGCTGTGTCTGATATCAGGCTGCCTGCCCTGTCCCACTGGGGACTGGCGCAACTCAAAAAGCTCCTTCCCCCAACCATGTCCTACCCCACCCCGGTCCCGCACCAGCGGCAGTCCCCTCCATTCCTTTCCCCCCAACCCCCACGGTTTGGGTGGGCCCGCCCGCCCCCGGCCCGCTTTAACCTTACTGCTCCTAGAGCAGCCTTCACTTACAGAGCGCTCTGAAGCTGGAGTGCCTCCAAGGGTGTCTGGGGCCCCGGAAGGGCGGGGAGGCCCTTCCCAGGGCTGGGGAGGTCGATGAGAAGGGGCGGGGCCGCGGACCCGATTGTTCCCGTGGGTGCCATAGCAATCGGGTCACGTGGCAGCCCCGCCCCACCCCGTGAGCCTAGGCCTTCCCGCCCGCCCCAGGGACTCCCCTACTTTTTCAAACCGTTCCCCAACCTCTATTCATTTTAAAGATGGGGAAACTGAGGCCCAGAGAACAGAACTGGGCCGGCCCTCAGAGCTTCCAACGCCCGGGTCGGGGTGCGACGGCGGAACCAGCGCAGGACCCACCTCCCATCCCCTCTGTTGGGGTGGGAGGGTCGACGTGACCCTGAGCGTCCCAGCACCGGGGGCCCTCCCGAGGCACCTCTGGTCCTAGAAGGCCACTGCTGGAGCGGCCTGAGGGGTCCCGCTGAGACATGCAGACTGCGGAGCGAGGCCCGGGCGGGGAAGCACCTGCCCCCCGGCGGCTGGTCGCGCGGGCCGAGGAGCCGGGGACCAAGCCGTGCTCCAGTCTGGAGGGCCGGCGGGCGCGCGCTGATGACGTAGAGCGGCGGCCCTAGCGACGGCGGTCTCCAGGGCGCGGGCGCGTGCTGATGACGCGGCGGCGCGCCGGCCCTAGCGACCGCTGTCTCCAGGGAGCGGGAGCACTGCACCGCGGTATGGACGCGACCACCGCCCCGCACCACATACCCCCGGAAATGCCCCAGTACGGGGAGACGTACCACGTCTTCGAGCTGATGCAGGTGACCGAAACGGCCCCGCCCTGTCGCGACACCGGGCGCCGGCCGGGAGCCTCCGTCGCGATAGGGTGCGCGGCGGCGACCCCGCAGCTGGGGGGTGTCCGACTCCTGTACCGCCGGGACCCCGAGGGATGACTCGGTCGGAGGACGCCCCGCGTCCCTGCCCTGCGGACCCAGGAGGGAGGAAAGGGGGCAGGCCCTGGCCAGGATTTGCTCAATGGCCTGGACCAAGTCCCATTCTTTTCTCAGTTCCGGCAGCTGTGAAATGCCAGGTTGCAAGAGCTGGTCTCCAAGGGGGCCCTTCCCGCGCTGACAGTCCCCAGCTTGTCTGCAGTGTTCGTTTCTGAGCTGGGGAGTGTCCGAGTTCAAGGTGACATCACCGTCCCCTGAGATGGCTGCGACCGGGGACAGGGGACAGCAGCCCTGTGGCTCGGGCGGCAGCATTTCCCACACGGCCCTTCTTCATTAGGGCGGGAGTTCGGGGCTGCTCCCAACCTCTCATCCTGGGTGTCTGACTTGACCGGGCCCTCTCTCCCTGTGTGCGCTTTGGCAAAGCCCTTCCCCTTCTGGTTGCCCTTCTGCACCTCCTGGAGGCAAAGGCTTTCAGGAGCTGGACTGAAAGAACTCTCTGTCGCTCAGAGGTTGTGAGGGCCGAAGGGAAGCTGGAGCCCAGTTTCCAGAGCATTTGCTCCTCCAAGTACACCCTATCCCCAGAGGCACCACTGTGGGGACCCCTGTGCTCATTTGAGCCTCTGACCTGCACACCTGAGAGCAGAGCTCAGACTCAGAAGTGTCACCATCTCTCCAGCAAACACATGCTTCCTTTGGAAAGTGTTAACTGGCAGAGGGAGGGAGAGAGATTTCTCTAAAACCGGGTGGCCAGTCTGAGAAAAGAAAATGGCCAGCTGAGTTGTAAGTCATCCGCTGGTGGGCAGGATGGGGCCAGCTCCTGGGGGCACTGTGGTCTGTTCTAGGGAGGCTGCTGTATCTCAGAGTGACTTTTGGATGGAACAGTCCGCAGAAGCTTTTAGTCCAGTATTTTCAGTCCTTAGTCATTTGTGCGTGTTCCCTCTGTGGATCTTACCATCTTCATTTCTTACACTTTTTTTTTTTTAAGATTTTATTGATTTATTTGACAGAGAGACACAGCGAGAGAGGGAACACAAGCAGGGGGAGTGGGAGAGGGAGAAGGAGAAGCAGGCTTCCCGCCGAACAGGGAGCCCGATGCGGGGCTCGATCCCAGGACCCTGGATCATGACCTGAGCCGAAGGCAGACGCTTAACGACTGAGCCACCCAGGCGCCCCCATTTCTTACACTTTTTAAAAATAATTTTAGACCCACAGGATGTTACCAAGATAGTACAGAGTTCTGATGTACCCGTCCCCAGCTCCCCCTACTAAGACCATCTAACGTCACTCCTTGACATTCACAGTCCTACAAGACAGTTAACCAGACAGAGGCCTTATTTGGATTTCATCCGTTTTTACCTGCACTTCTTTCTTTTTCTGTGTGCACGGTTCTATGAGATGTTATCACATATATCGATTCATACAACCACCACCACAATTCCACTTTCACTTAGTCATTTCTTTAAATCAACCCACTTAAAAAAAAATCAACCTGTTTTATCTCCTCCTGAGCAATATCTTTGAAATCCTAGGTTTCCTAATACACAATAGATACACAACCGCTTAAAAGCGAAATTAAAAACACTCATCTGTAAACCAGCTAGCATCATCTCACGCCTTCTCCGCAGTGCGAGCCGACCAGAGGCCTTGGCCAGTTGGGCCCTCCACCGGCTGGGGAAGCTGAGGCTCGGATAAGGGAAGGGACTTGCTGGTGAGGTGCAGAGCGGAGCTAGGACTTCTCACAACTCCGAGCGCTCTACCCATCCACACGCCCTCCGCCCCCAGAGGCAAACACCCCTCCCTGGTTGTCCCTGAAGGATGCTCCTTCCTGCGCCAGCACAGCTCCTATTCTCTACCCAGTTCCTTTCTGTGCCTCTTGTTCTGGAACCATGGAAGCTGCTTTTCCTTGGAATTAAATGGTCAGACTAGCCCAGGACTGTTTAGATACTTGGCTGGTAAATATTCTGCCCCACCCTGGAGGGACACGGGTAGCAGTGATGGCCATGCCCCCCAGCAGATGTTGGTATTGGGCACCTACTGTGAGTGTGCCCAGCATCGGGACAAGGGTGAGGCAATAACGGAGCTGCAGGAGCATATGGCAGGATTTATCTAGTGAGTGTGATCAGGAAGGTATGTTTCCATGGAGACTGGAGGACTCAGGGGGACAAGTGTTCTAAGCTGAGGGAACAGCATTTGCTAAGGCTCTGAGGGGCACATGAACATGGTGCATGAGAACTAAGAGAAGGCTGGTCTGGGATGCACAAAGGGACTGAGGGGAGAGGACCCTGGGCCCGCCTGCTCTGAGTCCAGGGGCAGTCCCTCCAGGAGCCTCCCCGGTGATACCCACACGACCCTTCCCTCATGCCTCTGCTCATGGGGACCCAGGCAGACAGCAGCTGGAGCAGGGGCTGGATCCCAAGTTGAAGGCATGTTTGGTGGGTGTGGTGGAGAGATCAGGCCCCATAACCGGTATTGGTAGCGACCAGGGTTCTGGGCCACCTGAGCCTGAGCCCGGGGCTCTGGATGCCCACGCAGCTGTTAACCACCTGGGTGTCTGCCCTGTGCCCACAGAACATGCTGGAGCAACTCCTGATCCACCAGCCCAAGGACCCCATCCCGTTCCTGATCAGTCACTTGCAACAAGACAATGATAATGGTGAGCATTCGAATGGGCCTCCCCCACTCCCCCTCCTTCTGCCTGACAGCTGTGAACCACTGTGTCCTCCCTGTGTCTGAAGGGAGGGCTGGACAGGGTGGGGAGGGGTTTTGACAACTTGGAGTGGTGTCTGATTGAAAAATGCCTTAATTTCTTTGGGGCGCACAGCTTAAAATTTCTCTTGCCAAGTTATTAAAACGAAAACCTTGGAATGGCCCGTGGAATCAATTATTAATGCTTTCGTGGGTCCCATCCGATCCCGCCTGTTGGGTTTAAGCTCTGTGATGACCCCACTTGTCAGGTGTAAATTTGGTTTCTGGTCTGCCTAGACAGGCAGCGCTTGGGTCTTCCTGATGGTCTCATGACTGGTGCCCGTTAGTGAGTGCCAGAGTTCCCCCAAACCTTGGCCCAAATGCAGGTCAGCTGGACCCAAAGCCACAGCTCAGAACCAGGGAGAAGGGAGGGGTGCTCCATTCCATGGTCAATTTGCCAAGTGGAGGATCATTCCCGTCCTGTGTGAGCTGCCAGGGAGAACTGGTGTCTGGGAGCTTTGATGTTTCTTTCATCGGGGCACTGACCGCTTTGAAGGAGATACCAGCACACCAGTGAAGTTAGCACTTGGCGCGGCTGAGAGGGGCAGGGGCCTGAGATGCCCCGCGGTGGGGTTCACACGCCTAAGATGAGAAAGGACGCTAAGCAGTTTAAGAAACAGCCACCAGGAAAGGTGAGAGGGAGGAGACCCCAGGCCTGCGGGTGCACCAGGCACAGCTGGCCTTTCTGGTGTGCCCCACCCCCACCCAGATCCTGACCCATCTCAGGCTTGGCTGCAGAGCATAAGAGTGAGGGGCTGCTCGGGTCCCAGGGCCATTTCACCAACCTAAGCAGAGTGGCTCACAGAGGGCACAGCTGTGCCCCTTTCTGAGCCTTTGGTCAGGGAGAATTGAAAATTGATGTTGGCTGTGAGTCCATTTGCCCCAGGTGGACATGGAGCTGTGAGCACGGAGGGCCGGGAGAACCACCTTCTCAAGCTGTCCACCTGGCCTCCTTGCGATCCTGGTGGGGTTCACTCTGCCCCACAGAGACGCTTCTAAGAGGCCTCCATTCTCTGATTGGCTGTTTATTACCTGGCATGGGGGTGCCTTCCTTTCCTGGGGGTCCTGCTGCAGACTGCAGCTCACCAGCCACGCCTCCCCCACAGGGCCTCCGTTTGCCGTTTGCTGGAGGCCCAGGTGTCTGTCTGCCTTCCCACCTCCTCCACCCGAGTCTGGCCAGGGCTCGGTGTTCCTGTTATCCAAGGACCACTTTTTCGTACTGCCACCACCCAATAACAGCAAAGCAAAGTGAAAGCAGAAGCAAAAGTACAGGAAAAACAAAGCAAAAGTTAAAGTTGAAAGTAAAGTAAAAGTTAAATAGGAGCAAAGTAAGAGTGAACGTGACATGAAGGTGAGTTTGGTGAAGGACTCCTTGCCAGGCCACGTGAGGGGCCCTCCGGCCCAATGCGCTTCCCCACGCTTGCCGAGCAGCGAACATGGCCCAGTCTGGGCCTCGGTATCCTCGTTCGTACACCGGCCGTGCTTGGGTAACTGGGAAGGGGGCCGGCGGGGCGCTGGCTGGTCCCGGTGCCTGGGCGCAGGGAGGGCAGCTAGGGGGCCCCTTCATCCTGCTGGTTTGGGGTATGCGTGCCAGGCCACGTGTACGCCAACCCCGGGCCCCAAAGCTCAGTCAGTCCCCCAGCTGGAAATTCAAGAGCTGAAATGTGAGGCCAATTCTCATTATGCTTTCATTTTGCTCCTCTGTGTGCAGATTTGATTTTCAGCGTCAAATTGCCCACTTTACCAGCATCTTTCTGTTTTAGACTCAGGGCAGCCGACGACACTGGGGGCTGGCCTTACCGCCCCCTCTGCCACCTCCTCTCTCCCTTCACCCCCTTCCATCCTCCTTAGCTGCCCCTCCGTTCATTCACGGTCTGCTTTCCAAGGCCACCTGCCAGGAGCCTTGATTCCTTCTCCACACTACCCCTGCCCTGTTGCTCCCAAGCAGGGGTGAAGAACTTAGACCTGCCTCGTCTGGCTGTAGCTGGGGCTGGCCTCCTGGCCTCCTCAAGAGCTGGAGTCAGGGTTTTGGGCCCGATACTCTCTCAGGGAGTAGACGTATTGGATCCCAGTAACCACACTTTTGGGAGTCCTCCACTGCCTCTCCCAGGCCTTGGCTGGCCGCTCTTATGGTTGTTGGAACATCTTTGCCCTTTTTGCTCAAGTCCCAACCACTAAATGAAGAGCAGAGAGGGACATCTGCGGGTCCCCCCACCTCCCGTGCGCAGGATTCTGCCAACAAGTGAAGCAAAATGTGGGGGAACGAGGGGAGGCTGGGCAGAAGAGCATGCTTTCATGAGTTTTTTTGGGGTGGCGGAAGCCAAGAACAGTTTAACCCCACCCTTGTATGTTCTGGAAGAGGACAGTGGACAAGGGGAGGCCCTCTGAAGTCCAGTGAGCATTTCCACTGCCCTGGGTCAGTGAGTAAGGTTGTCTCGCCTCCTTCCAGAGGCCTGGTTTACTGGAAACTGGGCGCTCAGTGCTTCTGCTTGCTGGGCATGGTGTGGTGTGGGCAGTGGCTCCCATGGCCAGTGGCTGGTGTAGAGGGAGAGAAGGCTCCAGACTCATCCCGGTGAACATGTACAGGAGGGAATGAGGGGAGCCCCTGGCACATGGCTGGCAGCCCCTTCGCCTCGAGAAAAGCAGATTTAGTACAAAGTGAGCATTTACAGTAGCCCTGGGCAATATTAAAGCAGGTGATGGTGTATATAATGGTATGTTGCGTTTTTTATCAAACGTTTGTCCAAGAAAGCTGTGTATTAGAGCTCCAATACCTAAGGGTTTTCTTGTGAATTTTAAATCATGCTCCTAGTTAAACCTCAAAAGGATCTGTGGATGGAAAGGTTTTTTGATTTCCTTTGAAGTGGTTTGAAGAAGTTGATTACTCTTGGCAGTCAAGAAGCCTTTTATGACACTGTTTATAAATAATTACTCATGAGCAGAGCTGGAGTTTCAGGTGTTAGATTTTAAGAAACTAAAATTAATCACATAAATGTGTGCGAGAAATTAGGTGGGGAGAAAGGCCGTGAATGTTCCCCTTTTAAAGCATTTTCAGAGATGTGTACAATTTGGGTGCCACTTATTGGAGCCGGGGAGGGGAGGGTTTCCTCAGCAGCCTTTGAGCCCCGCAACTTTGTCAAGATGAACGCCTGCCTTGGGAGTCAACTCATTGCCCAAATGTTCTTGTCGAGGTGCAGCCCCTTCTCCTCGGGCTCCGCAGGCCCTGAGTCCCATTGGGTCTGGCCTGAGTTTTGAGGAGCTTGAGCAGAGGCCTGTGGCTAGAGTCCCAGAGAGGCCGCTGGGCGAAGGGCACGGGGGCCGGGCCAGTCCCCCTGCTGCTCCCTTCCTGTGGCTTTGGCCCGCAGTGTACTGGAAGCTGTGTCCGCGAAGCACCCCAGCCGAACCTGCCTTGGAGAGGAAAGTGCATGCAGAGGTTTGCTGAGCTGGAGCGTGGCAGCATTAGCCTGGGCTGGAGGAGGTGCCCCTCGTCTGCCTTGTCCACAGCCCTCCTGCCCCCACATCCCTGATTCACATCACCACCAACGGGAAAGATCTGGGGCTTCCGAGAAGCAAGTTCACACATCATCGGGGCTATGGACCAGGTTTATGAGTGTTTAGAAACGTAGGAAACAACAGTGCTCTAAAGCAATTAGTTGGGGACACATAAAAATCAAAGAAGCAACAGAAAGCCATGACATGTGTCCAGGCTGTCATGTTCTCGAGGAGAGGGCAGTGCCCCAGTCGGGGACGGGCACGGAGGATAGCTGCTCCCCTTCAGTTCCTGTCTAATGCACTCACCCATGCTCCACCTTGCTTTGCTTGGCAGCATCCCTCCCCGTGCCGAGCAAGGATGAGGTGCTCCATGAGTGAATCAGTGAACCATCTGAAACCTTCCCTCCACGTTTTCCCTGAAAAGGAGAAGGTGCTGTGCATCTGGACAAAGGTCTATATTTATACCCACGCAGCCTGGCTGGGTCATCGGTGTGCTGATGATTAAATCATGGGCCAAATGGACACTAGCTCCTTCTCTGGGTCCAGTTCCAATCTAAAAGATCATGTGTGTCCCTCGTCCTCTGCTTGGACAAGTTCCCCTCCCGGTGGCCTGGCAGGAATGGGCTCTGCATATAGACATCAGAGGCTGAAGTAAGTGGGAGTATACACCTGTTCATCGTCCCCTTGGCTCAGGGGTCAGGCCAACAGCGGTGAGGGGATAGGTCTGCTTTCCCAACGTCTGTTCCGTGCTCCTGGCTCCCAGCATTTAGGGGTGGGGGTGTGGCGTGGCTCAGTCAAGGTGGCAATGGGAGGAATCAGCATGGATTCATGTTTCCAGACACCACGTTCTGATTCCTGTTTTGACCCAAGAACACAAGCCTTCCAGCACTTTTCCAAATCTGCTGGTCTGGCCTTTTCCAGTGGGCCAGCACCTACTCAGTTGTCCAGAAGCCGCTTTAGGAATTCTGTGGGGCCAACAACCTTCCCGAGCCTGAAGTCTCCCACGGAAGCAAGCCATTTGCATAGAAATGCCCACATTTGAAAACAAAGACTTTTCCTATCTGGGGTTTTATAAATCTGGCCTATACATTCCAGGCTTTCCCCCATTATTTCCCTCTGTAAAATCATGGGGGATACAATTTGCTAAATAAAAAAAGCATAAGTATATATATATATAAAAAGCTTGAAAGGTCGATTTACATAAAATACAGCTTTATTTGAGAGCGTGTCCCCAAGACAAAGTCCCTGTTTAAAATGCTTTATGGTGTTTGAAATCCCAATTGTTCCTGATATTTATTAGTTTGGCAAACAAGTTACCGTGTCCATGTCCCCTTGGAGACAGAAAAATAAACCATCTCAGTGATCACTTACTTCTCTAAACATAGAGAGTACGTTCGATGGTGAGAGCATCTCAGAGCCCCTGGGTTACAAACGACCGTGTCACTAGCAGAAAATGAAATCTGGGGGAGGAAGGAAATGAATGCCCCCCTGAGCACCGCAGGCCCCGGGGGGTTGCTCTGTCATAGCAGGCGGTGACATTCAAATCTTTCTCTTCCACAGTGCCGAAGATTGTGATATTAGGTCCACCCGCCTCGGGGAAAACAACCATAGTAAGTGCATCATATTAAGTGTTGTAATACCGTAATATCTCATTTACCTGCAGAGCTGGAGTGAGGCTGCCCCTCAGCGGGTTTTCAACACCACTGAGCTTTGCTTCATCCTTCCCCTCTCCTGCTTCTTAACTTATTTTCTTATTACGAGAGGTGGCATGCACGCTAGCAGAAAACCTAGAAAGCTCAGAACACAAAAGTATCATCCCTCAGCCATCTAGGGAGGAGCATTATTTTAGCAGTTGGGATATACCTTCCAGGGCGTTCTTGGGCTGCACGGACACCACCCTCGCACACCCTTAGCTCACATCCTTAGGATACATTTCTAGAAGCAGACCAGAGTCGAGAGACTTTTGACACGGACTCTTCAGACTCATTCTTAATGTTTTAATTATGAAATAGTTCAGTCCAAAAGGCATAGAAACTGCACCATGGATACTCACGTATCCGACCCCCAGATTTTACAGAATTTATCATTTGGCCATATTTGCTCTGATGATTCTCTCTCGACTTTAAAGGTACAGCAAATATGTCATCCCAGCCCGCCCTTCCTTGTCTTTCCTTGGAGACAGCCCCAGTCCTGGCGCTGGTGCGTCTCCTCCTGCTGCAGTTTCAAAACTTGTGAAGTTGTGTCAAAACTTGTGAACATTGCAATCATCTGAGATGGAGCTCTGTCTTTTAAGAGCCTGGCTAGTGAACATCAGTTACCTTGTCCTTGATGAGCTGACACTTTGCTTTATTCAGAAAAAGAATTAAGATGGCTGAGTCTTACCCAAGCTGACCTGCATCTGCTTTGCTCTGGCATCATTTATATCCTGGCATTCTGTCTGTCTCTCTGTCCACCCATCTGTCCATCCCTCTATCCTTCTGCTTGTCAGTCTGTCTGTAGTTTTTCTACTGTGCTTCTCAGGATCAGGCTGCCAGCTCTCACTCCGGTCTCCTGTTTCACTGTAGAAACCAGGGGCTCCCAAGCCTGGCAGTCAGAAGCATTACCAGGTGCTTTGGAAGGTGCAGGTTCCAGACTCCCCTCCAGACCTGCCTGATCAGAATCTCCTGGGGAAAAGCCCAGGGAGCCTGTAGAAGCCGCTCCTGAGGTGGTAGCCTCTGCACTAGACAGACAGGCTTCCAAGCCATATTAAGGCCGAGTCAGGTCGCTCTGGGTGAGGGGTCTCCTCGGCAAAGGGCCTTTGTCTTTGAGGCGTTCGGCACTCTGCGCCCACCGCGCTCACGCCCAGTTCTGGCTCTGCCCTGACCTCTGGCGAATTTGCTGCGTAGAGTTCCTGAAGCGTCGTGAACACAGACAACTTCTCTCATCAAGGCCCAGCTTGGCTGAGGCAGTCGACTTTGCCTTCTGGTGAGGTCAGGGCCCACAGCGCTTGGCTGGTGTTTGAGCTACAAGCCTTTTGGTGAATTCGCTATCCCTGCCTCCAACCGCTGCCTGGGGATACACAGACTCTAATTTTGCAGGAAGATGACACACAGTAAAATCCAGACAGAGCCCTAAAGGGCTGTCATCACTGACATCTGCCAACACGAGCAACAGAGAGAATTAAGGTTCGTACTTGCCCTGGGGGACTTCAGGGCCTTCTGACTCATCCTGATGCTGAAATGGTCATCAGTATAATCTTGGCATTAAGAACATTTTATTGCATTCTTATTCCCTAAAAGGTATTCATCCCTGTAGAGTATACATAGCCATCAACGAATGAAACATTCATTTGGCTAGACCAGGTCATGTCCCGATCTAAGGAAAAATGAACAAGTATGCCTGGGACCCATGTTGAGGTCCTGTCTGTGCATTTCCTATTGTAAACCTTCTGAGGCCCGCAGAGCTGGGACAGGCATGCCCGCAGAGCTACATGCATGGCCCGTCTGTAGGTTTTCTAGTAGTCACTGGCTGCTGGAAGGAGAGAGGGCATTCAAGTGGCATTCTCGGGCTGGGAGGGACCCTATGGGCTTGTCCCCCTTGGTGGCCTTCTTCCCACCGGAAATCATTATGCTTCCAGCCTTTTCTAGTAGAATGTGGAAGGACCTGGGCATTTGAATGGAGTGCCGTCCATTACAGCTTTCACTAAAATGCTCGTGTCCTCTTTCCTCTCTTCAGGCAATGTGGCTGTGCAAACATCTGAGCAGCAATCTTGTCATGGTGGAGGACTTGATAGCCAGAAAATTTTCCTCGCTGGCTGAGGTTGCCAGGAAGCATTATCAGAAAATGAAGGTGGGACTGGCCCTGGGGGCTGGGTTGGGGGGTGGCGGGCAGGAAGGTGAGATGGGGTGACAGCTTCCACGGCTCCCCCCTCTCCCCACTCCCCCGCTAGTTTCCATTTCCTTGTGGATTAAGTGAGGGAGATGCTAAGATAAGATGAGATACAGGCACAGTAGGATGGAAGGGAGGAGACAGTTCTCAAGTAGGGTCCATCCTGGTGGGGATGGAGGTGAGGGCTTTGGGGCAGAAAGGGTCATTCATAGAGCGAGGAAGCCGCTCTGTGCTGATGGAGTGGCCAGGGCTCGCTCCTTTCCAGGGTCAGCCCCATCAGGTGGGTGCCCAGGGGCAGGGGCTCCGTGCACGGATGATGGAGCCCCCATCCAGATGGGCACGGGGTTTAAGGGCAGTCCTCCAGCTGTCTCTGCCATGGAAAGACCAGCGTGCTGCACCTCGGGGCTTCCTCCTGCCATCCGTGGCACTCTGTGGCGCTCTGTGGTGCTAGGGCTGCCCTCCCTGTCCCCTCTGTCTGTGGGTGGCATCCCAGGGCATTGGGTGTTCTGTTCCTAAAATTTCACTAACCCCATATTTGCAAATTTTTTTAAATAGGAAATATAGAGCTTGATTATGTTGTTTCTCTTTAATACAAACAGAAACTTCGAAATGTTTCTTCATAATCTCCTCTGGGCTATAAGCGGATTTCTTAGTCCATTTGGGCGGCAGTCACAAACTACCACAGACTGGGTGCCTTGGCAGCACAGGGTTGATTCGTCCCGGGTCTGGGGTCTGGGAGTCCGAGGTCATGCCTCCAGCAGAGGCAGTGTCTGGGGTAGGCCGCCTTCTTGCTGTGTCCTCATGTGGTGGAGAGGGCAAGGGGGCTCTCTGGGGTCTCTTTTTTAAGGGCACTAATTAATCCCATTCACTAGGTTTCCGCTCTTATGACCAGATCACCTCCCCAATCCCCCCAACACCCAATACTGTCACCTCGAAGGTTAGGATTCAGCATATGCATTTGGGGGACACAGGCGTTCAGACCATAGTAGCAGGGACGTGCCCTCTTGGGCATTCTTTATGAAGACTCTGGCTGCCTCCTGTTTGTAAGGGAAGCCAGCTGAGAAGGGTAGGAATCCTTGTATTTGCTGAGTGCTTTCCAGGCCTCCCTCCTCACCTTGTAAGCTCCGTGACCTCTGTGACCTCCATGCACAACATGGGCATGCCGGCCTCCCCGGCCTGTGGAGGTTAAGTAACGGCCCAGGGCTCGGGTGGATTCAGGCCTAACCCAGAGCCGGGCCAGCAGTTGAAGTGTGTGTGGGCGGGGGAGGGGGGCCACAGTGATTTCTGAGGCCCCGATGGAAGCAGCACCTTCCTCCTTGGCTCTGCAGCCAGAATTGGGCACCACCTGGGGCCACTCTCTGCCTCTTTGAGGCCCCTTCATCTTGTATTTCCATCCTGAGGTTTCTCTTCTGTCCTTCCTGGCCTCCACCGTGTTCCCTGCTTCCAACCCCCCACAGAAGCAGCACCAAGGCCTCAGGGAAGGGGCTCTGCCCAGGCCAGCTGGTTAGGTGTCCCTGGGGCCCGGGCAGCTCTGGTGAAGGGTGGTGGGCTTGGCAAGGCCACTGGGGCACCGACATGGCTGGGAGGGCCCTGGCAGGGCGGGGGCAGTTCTCAGGGTTGAGGCGTGGGACTCCCAACCCCAGGTTTGCCGGTTACCACAACCTGATGGAAGGAAGACCTCATTCAGCAAGGTCGGCCACTGCCACTGTGAACCGACTCTAAATATGCTCAATCCAGAGCAATTCCTGCCCCCCATTGCCTGGCGGGGACTCTCAGGGGGAGCAAGTGATGCCCCGCTTGCTCCCCAGCCCTGTGGTCTTGCAGGAACCGGTGTGTGCTTATGGTTGGGGGGACACCAGCGTTTGGGGTGGGAATATGGTTTTAGAAAGATAGTGGTTATCTCATTTTCAGATAGCTTTTCGGGGTGGGGGAAGCGGCTCATTTCTAGGGTAAAGATGCTTTTATCAGGTTTATCAAATTCAGCAGAGGGGAGGATTTTAAGGAAATTCCTCCTGGGTTTCATTACGCTAATTATCTGCATATTTCAGACCACATCGAAGTGCTTTCAAGGGTGTCCGGTTGGGGTTCCGTGGTTTGGAAGCACAGGGGAGGGAAGATGAAAGGCAAGGCCATCAGGAGTACGATCAAGGAGTAAAAGGTCCGAAGAGCCGGCAGGGGTGCACGTCGGGCGGCTGCGCGTGGCCTGGTCGCAGATGGCCGTCGCCAGACATGGCCTCTCGTTAAGGGTCATCTTTAAATCGCCTGCGGATCTGGAGCCTTTTACAGCTCTTTTTGCAAGTAGTGATAATACCTTCACATCCCTAATCTTCTGTTCATCTCGGCTCTGCCCTCCTACTCGGAATTCTCTTGCGTTGCTGGTGTTAACCAAGACCTCCTCATTTTAGGCATTTCCAGACGGTTCCCCAAATACTTCCTCGTCCCCTCCTGTGTGCCACGCACTCTTTCTGCAGTGCCGCGGGAGACCCAGAGATGAACTCCTTCTCCTGGCCCCTGGGAACTCCGGGGGAGGGGGGGTGTCCAAGCTAAGGGGCCTGGAAGCCTCGTGCCGTTGGCGGCCTGGCTAATTCACTCACCCCCTGAAGCATTCTCTGAGCAGTGACTGAGTCCCAGGACTGGCTCACGGCTGGAAGAGCGGACGGGCTGCAAGATTCAGGGGCTCAGTGGGGCCATAGCCTAACTGCAGGGTTCATGATGTGGAAGAGCCCAGAATCAGGCAAAGGGCCACAAAACCATGTGAGCAGGGAGGGATTGGACCAGCTTTTTTGTTTTTAACTGTTTATTATAAAATATTATAGCGTGACTCAGAGGCAGGGAGAAAGGCATTAGAACCCTCACGGGCCCATCACCGGCTACAATCAGCATCGGCTCACAGCAGCCTTGTTCCACATGTTGTCCCGCACCCCCCTGCTCCCGGGTCATGAGAGCAAACCTATAGGGCATTTCATGTCATCCGGAGTTGTTTGTCTGCCGGAGTCCCAGGATCCAGTCCTGCATCAGGCTCCCCGCTCGGTGGGGAGTCTGCTTCTCCCTCTCCTGCTCCCCCTGCTTGTGTTCTCTCTCTCTCTCTCAAATAAATAAAATCTTAAAAAAAAAAAAAAGGAACTCTGACCCACAACTAGCAGCGATCTGCCCAGGCAACCAGCCCGTTGTCCCCCAGCTGGGGAAGCCGGCGATAACCCCGTCATAGTCGGCCCCACGTGGCCAGAACTTGATTCATCACGGAATTTTTGTCCCTACTTCCAGCTTATGGCCAAGCAGAAGAAGCCAAGCACACAGGGTGCCCTGCTTCCCGGTGGCCGCCTCCCACTCCCCCAGGCCGCAGCCCTGGCAGGGCACGCCCACCATCGCCCCGTTGGTCCACCGCCCCCTCGGAGCCTCTGCCAAGCCCAAGTGATGCGGTGACCCCTCCCCAGAACAAGCCCTGGCTAAGTAGCCCTTTGCTTTTCTCATTGGGTCGGCCTTCATTTATTTCTACTTTCCAGAAGATAAGGGCTCTTTTCTCTTAAACACACACACACACACACACACACACACGGTCACACTTAGAAAACTCACTAGTCTTTCTTTGGTATCAGGTCAGAGTTACACTGTCCCTGAGCAGACACCTTTCTCGTGGTCCTCCAGCCCTTTGCCCACTCTGCCCGGCCCCAGGGCACTCTGGGTGTAAACACCTCCCTCGGCAGGTGTTTCTCGTCTCCTCTCCACCTTGACCAAGGCCACCTTTCGCTCTCAGTTTATCCTGTTTTGTTGCATCCTTTTCCCTCATCTGCCCACTCTGGTCCATTCCCTAAGCCCGCCCCATTCACTGTCACAAACACTGGGTAGGGGAGCCCTGGGGGCAGAGTGGGGAGCAGGAGGGAGGCCTGCAGGAGCCCAGGGCACAAAAGTGAAGGAGGCTACTGCTGTCAGGTGCTGACCCTGCACTTGTACGAGCCTGAGAGTCAGCGCCTCCTTCAATTCCGGCCCAGGGCTTCTGGAAGCCTAACCCCAGTCCAGGACCCACTGGAGTTTGGGAAAACCTAGTCCTATGGGTTTCTAATCACACAGGAGGTAGTAGGAAGAAGAGGTTCCCTGGTGAAAGGATATTTCTCTGCAACAGGAGCTGGGTGTGATTGCTCTGGAATGTTTCAATTTCTAAAGAACTTTATTACTGAATCCCTGCAGGGAGAACACACACTCGAGAAACCACCTGGTCCAGAAGTTCTCAGTCTTTGTGGCACGTGAGACTCGCCTGGGTCCTGCTGGACTCGATTAGTCTGAATCCCCGGAAGTGGTGCTGGAGTTTCAGATGCTCCCCAGGGAATTCTTTTTTTTTTTTTTAAAGATTTTATTTATTTATTTGAGAGAGAGAGAATGAGAGAGAGAGAACACATGAGAGGGGATAGGGTCAGAGGACGAAGCAGACTCCCTGCCGAGCAGGGAGCCCGATGCGGGACTCGATCCCGGGACTCCAGGATCATGACCTGAGCCGAAGGCAGTCGCTTAACCAACTGAGCCACCCAGGCGCCCACTCCCCAGGGAATTCTAACGTGGCCCCGGGCCCCCAACCACCACTCCCCTTTCTCATTGTGGTTGTTAGTCTTACAGCACAATTATCGCCAAATCAAGGTTTCTTGGGTGTGCAGCTGTCGTATTAGGACTCCACAGCCTGTGTTTGTTGAATGAATAAGTGACCCAGGCTCTGAAGGCCAGTCAGGCAGGAAGGAGCCAGAGCTGGGTTCTTTCCAGCTCCAGTGTCATTTACTCCTTTCAGTTCTGTTGACAAAGTTAAAGTCTGGTGGAGCCCGGTGCACCCAAGTGCCCAGCTGCCAGGGCCACCATTTAACGTCCAAGGGAAAGAAGTTGTGCCGTCTCATCCTGCCTCCATCTACACACAGGGATGGAGGGCTCTCCAGTGTCGCTGAGGATTTCTGGGATTGCCCTGGTCCCGTGGGTGGCCTCCATCCGCTCCGGCCATTTCCTCTCCAGCCTTGCTGCTCCATGTCCTCGTGTTCTCTGGCGCTGGAGTCCTCCTGCTGTCTCGTGTCCCCTGTCCGCCACTCCAGGCGGCGGCGTGAACGGGCCTTGTGGAAGGTTCAGGGTCGTGGAGGTTCTGCCTGTGGCCCAGGACCATTCTCCCTATAAAGTTCATCGGCCTTTCCCACTGCAGGGTCTCTTCCGGGTCCCCTCCCTCTGGGGGCCTGTCATATGGCACGTGGTCAAGGGCGTGCTCTTCCTTCAAGGCCTCCTCTCCCATTCTCTCCCTCCTCCTGCCGCCTGTTGCCCGGGCCCTGCCTTTTGAGCATTGTGTGAGTGCCTGCCATCCAGACCTGCTCTGACAATCCTGGAAACGGTAGGAACTTGAAAATGAGAGTTGTATTTAAAGATTCTCTGACCAGTTCTTAAGTGAGCTCAAGTCCAAGTTCGGGCTCCCCACCCCCACCAGCAGCACGTGTAGGAGGAAGAGGCCGGACTGGGCAGACCAGATCTCAACTGTTGCCCTCCCGACTCTGCTCCAGGTGGAAGTTCATACTGTAGATCAAAACACCCTCTGCCTCTTGAGCAGGCGTCGCCCAAGGTGACACAGGGACAGTAGGGGCCCTGAGAGTGGGGCCTGGTGATGGGACCGCGCCGGCTTGTGTCATCCCAGTGAGGAAGCCCGGGTGTGAGAAGTGAAGGCAGGTGCCCCAGGGGGCAGAGCCAGGGTTCCACCTGCCACCATCCCTGGCTGCCTATGCACAGCAGCAAACCAGCAGGCCACTCAGTGGGGGCGGCACGTCTGAGGTCAGCAGATCAGTGGGATTGGGAGCTGGACGGAGAAGAAGGGTCCACACGGGAGCCGATGCAGCCAATTCTGCCCTTGATGAGAAGAAAGCAGGGAGACGAGAGGCCAGGGCCCTGCATCTGATCTGGGCCTTCTCTGTGACCAGTGGGGGTGCCACGGGGCTTTACCAGTTTGTCCCTGATTCTCCCCACAAAGCCAGGCCTTGGGGGGCTGGGTGGGAGAGCATGGCGGAGCTCTGGGAGGAGGGAGCCTGATTCCTGCAAAGACAGTTTGGCAGGACTCTGAGAGGCGCCCCTGGAAGCCCTGCTGCTGACGTGACACATCAAAGCTGGCACTGAGACAGCGCCAAGGCGGGGAGCGGTGGGGGGTACCCGGGAGGGGCTGTGCTCAAAGTCATGGGCCTGTCCCCTGCTGGGCAGGCCCCCGGCGGGTGCCGTACCCCACCTGGACCTGTCTCCTTTCAACCCGTGTTCTTTGACTGGCTTGCACCTCCCCTACCCCCATCTCCTCCTCCACCTCCACCCCTGCCCGTCCCAGTACCTGTGTGAATGCTGCCTCCTGAATGGGTGTTGTCAGGGACAGGAGACTAATCTCGAAGGGAAATGGGCCTCAGGATGGAAGCTGGCTCTGCCTGGGGTCGGGAGGGGACATGTGGGGACAGGAAAGGGCTGCTCCCTGTTGACCCCTTCCCTCGCCAGCTGGGAGAAGTTTCCCAGGAGAGCTGGGAAGATAGGGCTGGGGCAGAAAGGCACCCTCCCCAGCAACGTTTCCCATGTGGGGGAGGGCTTTTGGGTGCTTGAGTTTGCTTCTAAGACGTGGTTTCTCCGGGTGTGCTCCCTGGACCAGCAGCCTCAGCATCCCTACCTCGAGAGATCAGGAGGATCCGAGCGCACAGGAGCTGAGCCCCCTTGGGGACTGATCCCCTACCCCCGGCTTCTCTGCCTTGCCAGCACCCTGTTCCCTCTCTCTGAATTGCTCTGTGGGGGAGCTGACCTAAGCCCATTTGCTGAGACATGGCAAACATCCATAGTTAGAAGTGGTTGAGCACCGTCTGTTCCCCACACCCTCGCTGCCAGGACATAACAGATGTGAGGCATGGACACATTCTGCCACATGCGCCATTTCTCAGCCAGCCCGGACGGGGCACAGCCTGTTGGAGAGGCTCTGGTGTCCCAGCTCTCTGTCTCTCTAGGTGCTCCAACAGCCCTCCAGGCGGACATGACAGCATTCCCGAGGCAGGATCTGGTCTCCAAACCCTTACAGATGCTGGCTCTAGAATGAAAGATCCAGACTCTTCTCCAGTGTCACTAAAATGTCACCAAGGCCACCACTAGCCCTAAGGATACTTCAGGAAATTGCCCCCCCCCCCCGCCACCAGGCTGACATGGTCCCACTCTGGGGTCCCCAGCTTGGGAAAAGGAGCATAAGGTAGATTCCTCGCCACCTGAGCTGGGCACCTCTGTGTGCACTCAGTGCACACCCAAGGACCCTCATCTGCACCTGGCAGGAGCCCCTCCCCTCCTCGGGGCTGGTTCAGCCCTGACATAGCTGGGGATGTGCTGTCCGGGGCTGGCCTGGGAGTCTGCTTTGGCCAAGCGTTGGGGTGTTTATGGAGAAGCACCAGCTTTTAGTGATCTTAGGTCAAGGGGACACGAGGGAATGGGTTTTCCAGGCATCAGCTCTGGGGCATTCAAGGTTTTGTTAGAAAAATAAGAGTTGGTTGTGAAAATTGGGATGTTGATTCTGGCCAGAGAAAGTTCAGGAGAGAGACAGAAGGTCAGCCATCCTTAACTTCCTATCTGCGCACCGCTCCCCCCCCCCCCCCCCCCCCGCTGCCTGCCTTTGCTGGGCCCAGGGAGAGCAGAGTGCTGAAGAGGCGGGGCTCTAACTGCCCTGCATGGGTTCAAGTTCTGCCTCTGCTCCTCCCTGCTCGTATAACCCAGGGGAGGGGCTTCACCTCTCTGAGGCTCAGTGTCCCTATCTGTAAAAAGGTGATAAAAATAGTACAGATTGTCCAGAGTTGTAAACATGGAATAATGTAGCTGGGCACAGTGCCCAGCACAAAGGGTATAATCAACAGGTCATTATTACTATTTATTGAATATGTCCAGGAACATGAAGTTTCATTAACTCATCAGCTGGCAAGGGCATCCTATTTCCTTGGCGCTGACTTGAGGCTGGGGCAGAGGTGCACTGGCCAATATTTAACAACCAGCTCTCTGGGGAAAAAAGCCCATCTTTGCAGCATTCGCCCATTTCTGTGGTGTAAATACTCCTACCATGGCTGATTTCAAGCTACCACCGTGAGGTCTCTGAGTGCCGAGTTGGGAAGAGATGGGCATCATGGCCCCCTCCTGCACACTGTCTGGGGTACAAAGATAGTAAGACTCGGTCCCTTCCCTCTAGGAACTTTGAGACTTCCTGGGGAGTTGGACACGTGAGCAGACCCCTGGAAGGCCTTATGGTTAGAGCAATAACAGAGCTCGCCATTGAGGATTATGGCGGGCCCTGGCCGAGCCTGGGGAGGGTCAAGGAGGGCTGCCTGCAGGCGGTGGTGCTTGGGCCAAGGCTCTGAGGGAGCCTGGAGTCTCTCAGGAGGGGTGAGGGGAGCATCTGGCGGAGGCACAGGATAAGCAAGTGTGGAGGTCGGTGTGCATGTGTGGTGGGGAGCTGTCAAAGGGGTGGTTGGTTGGTGTAGAATGAAGCTCAGGGTAGGTCTGGGGGCTGCAAGGTGGGCCCGGGCTTTACAGAGGCCACTGGACATCAGTCAGGGACTGGGAAACCTTTGTGTTCACACAGCCAGCTCCTCAGTGTTCAGCTGAGCCCCCTGGCCTGCCAGTTACGTGTCCTTTTTGGCTCAGTATGTGGGTTGGGACCCTCATTCTGCATGTCATCTTTCCTTTAGAAACTGCCCAGCACACTGCTCATCAAACTGATTCAAGAACGCCTGAAGGAGGAGGACTGCATCAGGCGGGTAAGAAACCCTGTGTGCAGCGGCTCGGGGGCTCCCAGGGAGAGGGGCTCTGTCACCAGATAAAGGGAGGGTGAGGGGCGTTGGTTCAGGTCCTGGCGTGGAACCTGCAGAAAAGGAGAAAACAGACAAACCAGATCTCAGTGAAGTTGAGTCTGTGGATGTGGATTTCACCTTGGATGGAGCCAAATAACCAGGTGAAATCTGGGATATCCGTCGGGGATCCCAGGACAAAGCTGGCCTGTCCCAAGCGGTGACAGGAGAGTGTTTAAGGAAAGGGTGGTTGTGGAAGTGGGGGGTAGTTGAGGCAACCCACAAGCACTGCTGAAGCACCTGAGACCAGCCCCATAGCGAGTGGGGCACTCCTGGACCTGGAGGGGCAGAGGGAGAACTGGGGGGCACCCCAAACTCTCCTCTGCCATCCTCTGATCTCCTGCCAGCACCATCTGGCCAGACCCAATGAAGCCAGAGGGCAGTGTGTCCAGGTGAGGCAGTCCATTTGTGGAGGTCAGCCTCCTGGGGCATGGAGGGGGTTGGAGGGGCAGAAAGCAGGCAACAGGAGCCATGGGCGCCCTGGGAGGGCTTTAGACACACGGACTCCCTGGATCCTCAGAGGAACTCCATTGGGTGGACCCCATGACTCCCCGATTTTACAGATGAGGAAACAGGGTTGGCTATGCGATTTCCAAATATCTTCTCCTGGTCCACAGCTCGTCTTATTGTCCTCAGATCAGTGGCTTTCACAGAGCAAACAGTTTTAATTTTAATGCAGTCCCATTTATCGATGATTTGAACATTTTTAAAGTATTCCATTTTCATTTATCTCCTGTGTTTTTAACAATATTTCTGTATAGGTTTTTCAAGCTATGATCTAATAATGACGGTATACAGACTTACGTTTTCTCAGTCTGTTCAGAGTCACTTCTGTGCCATCTGGAGCAGAATGTCCAGTAGAGTCCCCTCCCCTCCTTGAGTGTATGTCCACCCTGTGTCTTACTGTGTGTGGACACTGAAAACCCTGGCAGGCAGCCTTACCAGCTTTGCTCTCCGTCATCAAACCTATTTTAAAGAACTTGAGGAGAACCATCTGTTCTGTTTATCCAGGCATTTCCATTTCTGATGATCTCCCTTCGTTCCCGACACTGTGCATGGCCCCTTCTATCTGGAACTCAGGTCAGCTCTGCCCCCAGTGAACTCTCACAGAATGTCTTTATTGCCTTCATTCTTGAAGCATATTTGTCTCTGGATTCAGAATTCTAGATCCCCAGCTCGCTCTTCTTACACCTCAGTGTCCCACTTCCTTCCGGTCCGTGTGGTATCTGGCGCAAGGGCAGCCGCCCAGACTCCTGCCCAATTAGCGTGTCCCTTTCCCCCCGGCTTCCTCCGACACTGTTCTCCCCATTCTCGGTTTCCAGCAGTTTAATCACCATACGTGATTCATTCGGATTTATTCTTTTGGGGGTTTGTTAAGTTCCTTGAATTTGTAAGTTTACGTTTTTCTCCAAACGTGGGCAGTTTTTGGCCATTATTTCCTCCTTCGCCGTTCTCTCCCTCGTGTCCTGAGGCTCCAGGGCTGTGAGCACTAGCTCTGTGGTTCCCTCCATGGTCGCTGAGTCCCAGCCTCTATTTCTCTCCCCTCTGTCGTGGATCAGATAATGTGCATTGAAGCGTCTTGAGGCTCACTGAGGCCTTCCTTTCCCGTCTCCATTCTCCTGTTGGGCCCATCCAGGGAGCTTTTAATTTGGATTGCTGTTTCTCAGTGTTCAAAATTCCACTTGGTTCTTCTTGCTGTCTTCTGTTTCTGAGACTTTCTATTTGTCCATGCATTTACTTGTTTGAGCTCCGTTGTTATTATTATGTCTTAATATCAACTCTGGTGGCTCAGTCGGTTGAGCATCCAAGTCTTGATCTCAGCTCAGGTCTTGATCTCAGGGTCATGAGTTCGAGCCCCACATTGGGCTCCACACTGGGCGTGGAACCTGCTTAAAAAACACAACAAAACAACAGCTGCTTCAGAGTCTTTGGTAACTCCAACAACCGAGTCACGTCAGTGGTGACGTCTGAGGTCTTTTCCCGTGTGAGTTGAGATTTTCCCGGCTGTCCTTGTGTTGCATGATTTTGTATCCTGGACATTTTTCATCTTGTTGTGAGACTCTGATCTTGTGTAAATCCTATGGTGGATGTTGGTATTGTTGTCTTCGCAGACCACTGATTCATTTGGGCTCAGGCCGCAAGTTCCAGCCACCTTCTCTGTGTTGTGGTTCCCATCTTGCTTCTGTCTTCAAAGCCTTTGCAAGTTCTGTGCGGCGCTCCGCAGCTCTGTGCTGTGTGCGCCGCTCAGCAGGGCCTGGACCGGGTCTGTGCTCTGCTTCCTCTCTCAGTGTCTTTAGAAAGCTGTCTGGGTCACACCCTTGTACACACAACTTGTGGGGAGCCCACGAGTCCATAACAGTTTCATTTGGTTGCTTGCCTGAGCTGCTCTCTCTGCCATTTCCGTGGTAACTTCCAGTTCCCCGGTGCTCCTCTTTTTGGTCCTCTGGCCAGAAAGCTGGGACTTTGTTTCCCGCTCTCTCACAGGCTTCCTGCGACTGCGGCCATGTGGCAGGAGGGCAGAGAGAGGAGGAATGAACGGGGCTTTGCTCCGTTCTCTGGGGACTGCAGGGGAGGGGCCCCTTGTCCCCTCAGAGCTGCCGGCACCTGCGGGCACCCTGTGTCGATGGTGCCACACCACGGTGCCGGGAGGCTAGGGTACGAGAAACTCACAGAGATCTCCCCCACCGTCTGACCGTAGGAGTGCCCTCTCCCGCTGCACGAGCCGGACACGAGGGCCCCTCCCGGGCCTCTCTCGGTCCCCACCTGTCACCCACCGTCAGGTCTCAAGGCTGCCTGACGCCCAGGCCGGGACTGCTGGCTTGGTGGTATTTTGAATTCTGGTCTTCTTTCCTAATTCACCTACCACTGTGTACTTTTCTGATTCCTCACATGGCTGCCCCGTGCCTGCTGCCCCCACATTCGAGCTGCTTTCGGTGGGAGTGAGAGGGTGGGCTGGGCCCACTGTGGGTTCCTGCCCAGAACCACAGCTTGTGTGCTTACATTGTTTTAATATTCACCTGTGTGTCCACGTACACACTCTCCCTCTCTCTCTTGCTTAAAATTCATCGAGAGACCCAAATCTGGGAAGATCCCCGGGCATCTTTCCAGAGTGCTGGTGAACAAGTAGCCATTCTTGCAGGCTCGGGCTGCACCGTCCTGCCCTGTGAGTCTAAATCACAGGAGAGCCACAGATCAGCTGTGGTCTGGGTTTCAGAGTCTGGTCTAAACAGTGTATTTTCCTTCGACCTCGGGTTGTTCACGGTGAGATGATGGTCTTCCACCGCCCAGCACAGGCCAGTGCCCAAAGTGCAGAGGCCGTTCTAAATTGGGGGTAGGCAAATGTTCTCTGTCAAGGCCAGATAGTAACTGTCCTAGGCTTTGTGGGCCATATGGTTTCATGTTGCAACTACTCAACTCTGATGTAACATGAAAGCAGCCATCACAGTGCATAGATGAAAGGGCACGGTTTGTCCCAGTAAAACTTTATTTACTCAGATAGGCAGCAGGACAGATTAGGCTCAGGACCCATAATTTCCTGACCCCTGTTCTAAATGATACTTCCACGTGATCATACAAACACTTCTGCCCTTTCTCTTCAGTTCTAAATAAAAAGCCAACTTCCCCCCTCGCTCACCACGGACCCACCCCACACTCCCTCACTTCCCCAGGCTCCCTGTCCACTGTCCTGCCAATCTAGCCCATCCTCTGGGATGGGGGCAGTGAGGTTTAGGGGTCATCTGGCTCCAGTGAGCCAGGAGGAACTAAGGTCCTATAGGAGGAAAGTGAGGCAGGGCTCAGGCTCCATGTCCAGCCTGGAGGGGGGAGCCCTCATTCCTCCAGACCCAGTTCCCACTCCCACCACCAGCCCCTTGGGTTAAGTCTCAACAGAGGCCGGCCTCAGCATCTCATTCCCCATAGGCCTGGGGTAGCCCTTCCTTGATCCAGTCCCTGTCCAGGTGCCAACCTGCTGCCCTCTGTCTAGGAGCTCCCTCCTATCCCACTCCCAGTGAAATAAAGCCTCCTATCCCCACCCCCACCCCCACATACACAAAACAAACTTCCACCTTCCAGCAGTTAGAAGAAAGGCCACTGAGCCATAGTCTCATTTTAAGTCTTGTTACCCATTCCCAAGCCCATCCCGCCCCCAGATGAGCGCCTGTTACAGACACTGCATGGTCCTTGCTGCTGGAACCCTTCCCCTCTGCCTCAGCCCCCCATGAGCAAGGTGGTCCCTTGGCTTTGAGCTTACCACATGCAGTTAGAGACAGCCTTGGATGACCAAAGCAGGACCAGCTGTGAGAAGGGCCATGAGGGCCACTAACCAGGCCGGGAGAGCCAGGTTGTTCCAGAAGCCTCCAGAGATGGGGCTGGGGTGGTCTGTGGAGGGGCTCTCTTGGGGGGAGGGGATGGAAGGCAGAATGAGGCTCCGCTCCCCTCCATACTCAGTTCAACCAACCTGTGATCAACTCTTTTTAAAACTGACCCATCAATCGATCACCCTTTTGAAGGTTTCCTCTCTTTTATCTGGGAGATGCAGAAACAGTCATTTGTCAGGAATAAAGAGGGGAGGGGAGAGCCTCCTAAATGACTGGAAATGGGCTGGCACTTTCCTGTACAAAACGCTCTATGCCTTAATCCGTAACCGATTATGAATTTGCCAAGTCAAATTAAACTCTTGCATTGCAGATCACTAGGCTAGAAGCATTTGGGTCTGCTTCTCTTCTCTTCACTAAGCTGCTTCTCCACTGTTTAGAGCAGTGCTGGTCCCATTTGGCCAAATATCAGGTGTTACTCCTTTGGTATGAGTGTACCCAAGTCACCCAGACTGGAACCTGCCAGCAGGATGGGCGCTACATTTGAAAGCAGAACCAGGGGGCACCTGGCTGACTCAGTAGAGCACGTGACTTTTG